TCTGTAGCAGTGTGCATGCTCTGGTCTAATGCAATTTGTAAGGTAGAATTGAGGTCATGATAGTCGGGGGCGGGGGGAGGGTAGCATTAAAGAACTAGAGGAAAGTTGTGTGTTTCATCAGTGCTATACTGCACCCTGACTGGCTCACTGTGTCCTGTGGCCCCTCTGTGAGGGGATGGCACTCCTACTTCTAACATCTCTTGTCTTTGTCTTTTTTAATTCCTCACTTTGCTTGTTAGGAAGGTTTTATGGGAGGTCAATTCTTTTGAGATTGGGTATTTCTGAAAATGTCCTTATTCTGTTGTGACACTTGCTGAAGTTTCTTGGAGAAAGCTGACGGTGCTGCAGCGTGACCTGTTCGCTTTTAATGTTGCTGTTGAGAGGCCTGACGTTCGCATCTGTGACGTTATGTTTATTTTAAGATGAAAACACTTGCATTACTTTTATATAACCAAAAGCTTGCCGTTTTAACCATTATGATTCTCAGTCCTACATTTTAACCATTATTAAGTGTGCAATTCAGTGATAATTATGTCACCATATGCTGCTAACACTGCTCCCGTCCACTTACAAATGGATGTCACCATTTTTTCACCCTTAATAGAAATTCAGTACCCTACAGCAATAATGCCCATTCCTTTCCCCTTGGCACTTAGTAACCACTAAGAATTTTTGTCTCTGCATTTAATAGTTTAGATATTTCATATAAATGGAATAGTAATTTTTGTCCTTTTGTATCTGACTTACTTTATTCAACCTGTTTTTAAGGTTCATTCATGTTATAGCATATATTTCATTTCCTTTATGGAGAGTGGTCCATGTTTTTTAAATTAGAGGCATGCAGAATAAGGTTTTTGTCTTTAAATTTTTTTAGTGATAAAATTTGGGGTGTATTTGTTTTATACGATTGTTCTAAGTGCTTAGTAAGTCCTTTTAATCTAGAAGCATGTCTTTCGGTTTTTGGAAATTTTCTTTAATTATTTTGTTGGTGATGTGTTTCCCCATAAGGTTTTTTGTGCAAACCACCTCTTATTTAGATATTGGAATTCCTGAAATGATCATCTATTCTTTCTTATTTGGCATCCCCTGGTCTTTTTTATTCTTCCATGTCCTAGTCTTGCACTGCATTAAAAAAAAAAAACCAACTTTATTGAGATACAATTTACTTATCATAAAATTCATCCCTTAGATTGTGATATGGCAACAAATGTAGTTTACCTAATGGTTTTTCATATATTCATAAAGTTATATAACTATATCACAATTCAGTTTAGAACATTTTTATCACTCTAAGAACAATCACTCCATTGTGTGCTTTTCAGGGTTTGTCCTCATTTTTTTCCCCAAAACCATCCTATTGGGAGTTGGTACAGGTGTCATTTGATTCCACAGTTCAGTCACATCAAGTAGTATTGTACCATTGCTACTACAATCAATTCTTTTCCTTCTTGAACTCCTTGACATCAGCTACCTTTACTCTCCCCCCTCCTCAATTGTATTTCTCTTCAATTTTTTGAGTTCTGTTCAAAGTTTTTTTTAACTTAAATTTCATACTTCAGTGACTGATATTCTATCTGGTTTTTTTCAAAGTAGAATTGTGTTTTCTGTTAAGATTTGTCTGTGACTCTTTAACACGGAATTTTTTTCTATGTGAAAAAAGAACAGCCATTAATCTAACATTTTTATCCCAGGTTGCCTTTGTTTTTCCTAGAAATCTGAGAAAACTTACTTTCTCCAGTTTGCAAATGTAGTAACTAAGACTTTGAGAGGGTCTAATTGTTTAGAATCATGAACAAAAACAAATATCCACATTTTTTATCTCTAGAACCACTTCACTTCTCATTGACAGTTAATGACTTGAACAATTGAATAAGCCATTGTTTTAACTTGATGCTTCAAAATAGGGAATGAAAAGATATTTCCTACCAAAAATAACTTCAGAAGCTTCATCTTCACATGCTTATGTATCTGACTTTTGCCATTCCTGGTGTGTTTTATATAGTACACCTGAGCAGGAGCAGCTGATGGTGGCATGGCTAAGCTGGATGATAAAGGAAGAGGCTTATTTTGAGAGGTAAAATGACTTTGTTTGTTTCAGTTAAGAAGTTTTTTCCTTATTGTCTGTTTGGAAATTCATACCTTTTCTGTTTCAACAGCACTTCAGGTGTCTCTGCTTCTTTTGGGGAGATGTTGTTATTAGTGGCTATGTACTTTCATAGCAACCAGCTTAGTGCTATCATTGACTTGGTCTGCTCCACCTTGGGGATGAAGGTAATTTCCTTTTATCTTTCTAAAAGATTGTGCTTCTGAGCTGGGCTTTGTACGAGGGGGTACCCCTGCAAACCTGCAATTGTGTTGGCTGGAGTGGAGGGTTGGAGCTTTTGCAGTATGCATTTTCCTGCTAGGTGAGCATTGAGCAACTCTATCGGAGTTAGGCACCCAGTGGGAAGGTTCTTTCTGGTCACAGTGAATTTTTTTTGTAAAAGCAGTTTCCCTCAAACCTCATTTTGTTGTGATGGCTGATTTAAGAGAGCAGCGTGTGGCTGTGAAATTTTGTTTCCTGCTTGGGAAAAATGCCGCAGAAACTGTTGTGATATTGAACACGGCTTACAAGGACAGCACTATGGGAAAAGCTCAAGTGTATGAGTGGTTTTCTCGTTTCAAAAAAGGTGAATGTTGATTGATGATAAACTCATTCTGGATGTCTGTCAACGTCCCGAACAGATGAACATGTCTCCTAGTGCATTTGGAGCTCACCCTACCAGGTCAGACTCTTAATCAAGCTTTCTATTTAGAGGTTCTGAAAAGATTGCATGACAGCGTGCAACAAAAAAGGCATGATTTGTGGCAGATGGGGGACTGATTTTGTTACCACGACAGTGCCCCTGCTCACGCAGCCATCACAGCGAGCCAGATTTTGGCAAGAAACATCATGCCTCTCTTGCCCCACACACCTTACTCGCCTGAGTTCTATCCATGCAGCTTCTTTTTGTTTCCAAATGAAGAGGAACATGAAAGGACAGTGATTTCATGATGTAGAAGAGGTGAAGCAAAAAAACGACGGGAGGTGCTGTCAGCCATCCAAACAGATGGGTTTGAAAGAAACTGCAGATTTGACATGTATTAAGTTTAATGGAGAGTACTTTGAAGGAGATAAGGCTGTTTTGTAAACAATTTAAATACTTAGCATGGGGGGGAGCAATTCCGGGGCTTTGGGGTACCCCCTGTACTGTAAAGTAATTAGATTGTTTTCATCTTGAAGAAGTTTTAGTTTAATAGTTTTACATTTTATCAGGAACTATGGAAAAAATATGTATTTTGAAAACATTTACTTAAAGAATAATAGATGGACAATGCAGAAATTTGGGAAACACAGAAACAGGAAAATACATTATAATTTCATCATTCATAGATATCAAGAGCACTACTGTTAACATTCTGTTGTCTTTTCTTCCTTTAAAAGCATGTATTCACATATTTAAATTAAAGGAAAAACTTAATTCTCCTATCAGCACATATTCCAATACAGTATAATTTCTAATGACTACGGAGTATTCCAAGGGGTCCCTGGTGGTACAGTGGTTTACATGTTGGGCTGCTAATTGTATGGTTAGTAGTTGGAATCCATTAGCTGCTCTAGGGGAGAAAGACGAGGCTGTTTACACTCTTATAGATTTAGTCTTGGGAACTCTGGAATAGTCTCTACCGTCCTATAGGGCCGCTGTGCGTCAGAGTCGACTCCACAGCAGTGCATAGCATTCCATCATGACTGATGGTGAACTTCCTAATTGCTCCTTCATTATTTGACATTTAAATAATTTAAAATTTTGAATAATGCTTAGAAGAATATTCTCATTTATGTAAACACACACACAAGCACTCACACATGTAGGTTTTTATGTATTTGTGTGACTATCTCCTTAGGATAAAGTTCTAGAAGTACAATTAAGTAAGGAGTATAGTAATAAGGTACTTAATGAGTGTTGCAAATTATCTTTTAGGAAGTTTATATCGAAGTGTTAAGAATATATATAAAACAAAGTTACAAAAAAACTACAGAATGCAAAAAACACTACAGAAAGATTATACCAATCTAAGTTGCTGTTATTAGTGAATGAAAACACATATTTTCTTAAGCTCATTCATTATTTTTAGTCTTTGTAAATTTTATTGATGAAAAATGCATCATTTATTAAGTTACTAATGAAGTTGTTTAAAAATATTTGTGTTAGCTGTTTTATTTCTTTTGACCTATACCAATGTACTATAGGACCTATTTTTTTTTTGGCGTTTTCTCAGAAAGTCTTTATATTCAGAGATATACTAATATCCTTTAAATTCTGTATTTTATTGATTTTAAGACATTTGACCCGCTGTTGAAATTGACGTTCATTTTCAGTTGATATCGAATATTTTTGTGGCACTGCCATCAAGTCAGTGCTGACTCAGAGCAACCCCTGTGGTTTACAAGACTGTAACTGTTGACGGGAGTAGAAAGCCCAGTCTTTCTCCAAAGGAGCTGTTGGTGGATTTGAACTGCCAACCATGTGGATTGTAGATCAATGTATAACTACTATACCACCTGAAAACCTATTGTTAATTGGTTATATTATAATCCTTTTTTTCTTTAAAAGTGGAGATTTATGGAATCGTGTGATAAATGATTTTTCCCAATTATGTTCTAACACTTAACTTTGCCATTTAGATTTGTCATGTGAAAGTTACTTTTTAAATGTATATTATTTCTCTGATGGTTTTCACTTTCCTGTTGTACATAAAAATATTTTTTCTACCCCAGGTTCATATAAATAACCACCTATTTTTTCATCTTTTGAACATTTAAATCTTTAATCCATTTAAATTGTTATAATTACTATTTTTTCAAACTATTAGGACATAATCCAGACATCATACTATTCAATAGTTCAGTCATATCAAGCAGTGTTGTACAATTGCTACCGCAATCATTTTCAGAAATATAATTAATTTTGATTATGATGTATGTGTGAATTTATATACGTATGTGTATATATTTTTCCATATACTCAAAGGTAGCTATCCTACTCAGACTTATTGAATTATCCAGGTCTAGCTTCTACTGATTTGAAATGCCAGTCATGGCGTTTACTACAAATTTTTTTATATTGGTTTTGTTTCTGAGGTAAAACATACTGGGTATGAGATGCCACTTTTTAAAAATAGGAACAAGTATTTGAATATTGGTGCTATATTTCACTGCCATTTAGATAATAAATTTACCAAGAATTGTGTGTCATATACAGTGTTCTCATGGCTGTTGTAATCTTTTGGTTATTTCAGATTGTAATTAAGCCAAGCTCCTTGAGCAGGATGAAGACTATCTTTACACAGGAAATTTTTACAGAGCAGGTACTTCTCTTTTGTTCCTAAGTTCTTTTACAGCTTTCTCTGGATGAAAAACTTCATGTTTCTGCTAAAGAGAATAATATGCCCATTCCCTAAGTCTTTTTAGGTGCTAATAATCATAATGATTTATTTGATTTTTGAACCTTCTAGCAGAATTAATCTATTTAAAAGGTACTTTCAAAGCTCACTAGAAACCAACAGCTATTTTTAAATTTACACATTTGAAGACTTTCCAGTTTAGTTATAGATATTTATATGTTAAT